TTAATTAATCATCTGATTTTTTTTACAAATAATTTATTAAAAAGAAAAAATTACATTTCTTCTACTAAATTACATTACAATTGGTTTTCAACATTGTTTGAATCATCAGTTTTTTTCCAACATAATTTAAATTGTCAGTTTTTCAATTAAATTAATTAGCACATATTTAATTATTAATTCAATGTTTTCTTTACAACTTACCACTTTACTCAATATACAATTTGTTTTTTTAGTCAAATTATTATATTTATTATTTATTTTCAGCCAAACAATTTTTTAATTGAATGATTTTTTTTTAATTGAATGATTTTTTTTAATCAAACGATTTTTTTTTTAATCGAATGATTTTTTTTCAAATTTGAAAAAGGTGGTGCAGGAAATTTGTTATAATAATTATAAATTAAGCAATGATCTATTTAAATTTCACTACATAATTATATCGAGAGTTTATATTAAAAATATTGAGCTGAATTTATATATAATGAAATGGGCATCTTCATTATATCATATGATTCACTATACAGTGAGTTCACTATATTGAGCACCAACTGTAATTTAGTAGAATAAGTGTATTTTTTCTTTAGATGTTTAATTAATAACGTAAATAAAGAAATTGTATAAATATACTTTACTTTTTACCTGTTTCTTGAAATTTTTGACTACACAAAAAAAAATAAAAATTTAATTACAAAAAAAACCTAACAAACTTATTAATTAAAATGAATAAATTCTCTACTTTTATCAAGAAATTTGAAGAATCTATTAATGAAGGTTTATATATAATTGATTTTGAAAATAACATTTGCGAAACCTTTTCTCAAATTATCAATTAAACATTTACAGAACCTAACGAAATTTGCATTCACTGTAATTCTGATAAAGATAATTTGGATGAAAATAACAGTAATAATACATACTATATATACATATTTATTTGTTTTTAGTTACATGTAATTTAATCTCAATATATATATATTAATATATTTTTTAGGCGAAAATTATCCACTGTGGCCTTGCGGAGATCATGTTTTTAAATTCAAAGAAGAACCAAGAGATTGGTCACAAAGTGGATGGGCTTTCTATTCTTCTGAGTCTAAAAGAAATGACAATTATAATGCCCAATTTAATGTAAAAAAATGTTTGGGAACAATTCAATGTAAAAAATGTAGTGCACAAGTTAGACCAAAAATGAAAGACTACAAAAAAAAAATAGATGAGCAACTTATTAAAGGCTGTTCATTATCTACTTGTGATGGTATTTAAGTTTAATTTGTTTAAAGCTGTTTATTGTTATATGTTAATAAATATATGTTATTAATTTTTTTTTCTTAATTTTAGGATCTTTGGAATGGATTCAATGTACTGTCAATTGTAAATTTATCAAATTGAACCAATCCGACGAAAATGATTATTGTTTCTATTTATTACATAAAGGACATCATGAACATCAGAAACCCATTCAAAATAAACCATTCAATAATGAGAAGGATATATTCAAAAAACGCGTTACCACAGCACCTGATATTTTGCCTAAAAAATTACAAGTTGGGCAGTCCTTGGATAAAAACAGTCCACTTGGTTCAGTTAGAAATATTTCAGAAGCATTTGCTAATGTTGACCAAATTGCTTATTATAGGCGCAAAGTAATTGATGAAGAAAACATTATAACTAAAACAGCTCACCGGCATGGTGATAATTTTGTTTTAGATATTTTACAATTTCAAACAGACCACCCACATTTCATTAGAGAGGCAGATTTTTTAAACAAGGGGATCATTATTTTGCAATCAGAATGGATGGAAAGTCAATTACTTTCTGAGAATAGCTTTCCCGGAATCTTGACAGACAGCACATATAAATATTTTGAGCATGCATTTTTATTATCAAGGTATGTTATAAACATTTATGAAATTAATAAAAGATTTACTTGAAGATTCATTCGATTTTATTTTATGATAGTTCAATATATTGTCCACTCCTTCAAAGATGGATACCAATATTAATTTCAATCATCTTAAAAGAAGATACTTTACATTATAAAGAACACTTCAAATATTTGTTTACGTGGATTGACAATAATACAAATAATAATGGCAATGATAATAATTTATATGCACAAATAATTGATTTTAGTATTGCGGAAAGGAATGGGTTTGTGGAAGCATATATTGAACATGGTTTACAAAAATTGATTAACAAAGGTTCATCTCTTCCTGAAAACATGATAAATTCCCATAAGGAATATTTGAAGGAGGAAGCAAAATCTTTGTTAAAAGGTTGTCAAGAACATTTTCGGCAATCAGTAACAAGGATTGCACAAAACCATGCAATTGTAAATCATGACTCTTCAACTCAATTTCAATCAATGGCATTAGGCCTTTTAAAAATTAATGAAAAAAGTGAATTTGATAAGGTTATTGAATCAATTCAAAAAAATTGGCCAAATACTGGTTCTTGGCTGAAATGGTGGGTTCACACAGATGCGGGCAAAATGTTATTTCCTACACTAAGTACAATGGATGAAGACTTATCAAGAAAATTACCAGATTCAATAAATGCACAAGAATCAATGCATCATAGATATTACATGTGCGGAACTACACATCAATCAATAATAACAGGTATTTGTTTAAAAATTATTTTAATTAGACTATTGTACAGATTATTAATATCAATCATTATTATTTAGGCATTGAAAATCTTCTGCTATTTGTAATTTCATTGGAAATAGATTATTCCGATAAAACCAAAGGTCTTTCTTTGGGATATGGCGAAACAGAAAGATGGAAAAAGATAGCTGAGTTGTATGGTACAACAAAACCATCTCGGGGGAAAAGAAATAAAAAAGATGCTGGGGTTGATGATCGTAGACCACCGGACACAACAAAAGCTTTATTAAAAAATAATGACAATGCTAATAATAAAAAAAGTGAAAAAAATCCACCACAGAAATATCAATCATACTCTCATTATAGAAATTCATGTTATATAACAGCATTGTTAGAAATGTTATATAACAACTATTTACATAAAATGGATTGGTGGTCAAACAATGTTGGGATTTTATCAAATAGTAATTCGGGTCTTAAGAAATTATATTCAAGTTTTACTATTAGAGATAATTTGGACCATTTTACAGCAAAAAAATCTACACTTAATGGAGCTAGAGAAATGATTCGCCTTCATGTCTTGGAAAAAAAATGGCAGAATGATAATGAATTTGGAAGTTTAACATTTTGGTTTGAAAACATCATTGCAGAAGAAAAAAGTTCATTGAAATTATTATCACATTTTTGTACCCTTGGCCTAAGAATGTGGCAGTGTGAATCTGGACATGTTCGTATTGCACCACTTCCATTTAAACCATTTATACCAATAAATGGGATTGATGACTTCGGTAGTCCTTTTTTTATAATGAATCCAAGTTTAGTAGGTCAAATTTCTGCTTTTTTTTTGGAGAAAAATAAACTAATTAGTAACGTAAGACCAAATGAACTATGCCAACATTCGCGCGCAAATCTCTGCAAATGTGACAATAGAAAAATAAAATATCAAGAGTTCATTATCTCTTGGCCATCTACATTAATTTTTGAATTAACACAAAGGGACGGCAATTTTTATAACTCATCTGATGACTTAGACTTTCCTTTTCAACTTTTTTATAATGAAAATGATTCAGAACCCTTAGAATATACTTTAACAGGTCGAGTATATAGTACATCATCAAGTGGTGTGCATTTTTACAGTAAAATAATCCGCAGCTTTAATGAGCAAATGGCTATTTATAAATATGATGATTTGAATAGTGGGTTGGCAACACTTGAATCCAATGACCCAGTAACTCTTTCAGGGAATCATCTTAATACTATATTGGTTTCTTATGTCCTAAATACTGAGTCTGGTTCTACTATATATTCCAATAAACGAAAAGGTTAGTATAAATCTAAATAATTCAAGTAAAAAATACTTAATATTAATTAATAATTTATTTGCAGACATGTTTTTAGAAAAATTGTCCAACTACAATATAAGAATTTCCGATGAGGATTTAGTATCAGGAATAGACTGTAGGTTTATTTACAAAAAAAAAAAAGATTTAAATGCAATTGCTCTTTTACTCATACATACATATAATGTATGTATATATTAGTAATAGAATATTTCACAGACAAAGATAATCAATATTATACAATCCCAAGGTAAATTAAATTTAATAAATTATATGTTATTCAAGTGAACATAATTATTCCATTCATTCATTTCATAATATTGCATAATTTTTACTTTAATTTAGAAATGATAATATAACAAATAATAATAGCAATGATGATAACAACAATGATAAAGATGATCCAATTAAAAAAAGGTAACTAATTCATAATTCAGTGATTATTATATTAATATGTATATGTATGCTTATTATTGAGTTATTATTATATTTTTCTTTTTTTAGGCTTAGAGTTGCTCAACCTCATACCAACATTCGCCGTAGTGAAAGAATTGCAAACAAAAAATGATTAGTTGTTAATTTCTGTATATATTATATTATTACAAATATTTTTCATTTTTCATGTCCCGTGTAATAAATTATTTATAATTATTCTGTAAATTTTATATTTTTTATGTTCCAATTGATTATTTGTTAATAAATTGCTTTAACTGGTTATAATATTTATTCTATTCTATAATTTTTATAATATTTGAGTAATTATTTAATAATTATTTGTTAATAAATTGTTTCAATTATAATAATAATAATTATTATTATTCGAACTTTTTTACCTGTACTTATCAAGACTTTTCAAAAAAAAACTCCAAAAAAGGATAGGTACAGGGATCAACAAAAATTCCTGTACCCTGTACTTTTCAAGGTTTATTGAGCGAACCTCGAAAGGTACAGGGTACAGGTCACCTGTTCCATATCTGCGCCATACCTGTACCAAAAATTTTCCTGTACCTTTTCAGATTTTTTGCAAGTCACCTGTACCACTTACCTGTACCTTTCTAGGTTTAGTGAGTAAATCTAGAAAAGTACAGGGTACAGGGATCAACAAAAATTTCCTGTACCCTGTACTTTTCTGGTGTCCCAACACTATAAACATTGTATCTTGATATAATTCAGCGTTATGAAATACAAGACTTGGAGGTTGATTTGCTGTAGTGTTAACTGGTGCAAGCCATTGATATTCGTCATTTGACACATCTAATACTGCCAGTTCAGGTTTAGAACCAATCAAGTTATAATTTCTCAATATACCATAACAAATTATTCGATCATCCGAGGCTAATCAAATCAATCAACAAGATTTAGAGAATTGATTAGTTTAAAAATAAATTCAGATTAAATTAAAATATATTAGATTAGATTGGATTATATAGACTTACTCAATACAGCAGAATGACTGTAACGGTTTTCAATTACAGCACCTCCAGCATTCTATAACAAAAAAAAAATTTTTAATATTAGTATAATTTTTTTACCACCAACAAAAACCCCTCAAATATACAACAACTTACTTTTGATGACCAAGCTGAAGTTACAGTATTAAAAATTAGTATCTATATAATCATAATATATTATTAGTTAATTAAATCCTTACTCTAATATATATATATATAATATATATTAACGCCTACCTCTTTTATATTAACATTTTCTTGAAATTCCATTTGGCCCAACTTCTGTTCCTTCTATGTAAATAATAAGTTTACTTTTTGGTAAATAAGTAGCGGTGAAACCTGATCTTTTTGATGGAGGAGGTGTTGGACTAGTGACTTGAGTCCAAGTTAATTTATTAGAATCAAAAATTGTCATATCATTAAACCAAATGGTTGCGTTCGCTGTTGATCCAGTAACTGCGTCCGAAAATCCACCAAAAATATACATTTTACCCAAATCATCCATCACAATCTGTCCCTCTCTTCTTCTAGCTGGCGGTAAAGCCCTGGTCACATCAGGCACGATCCATTTATCTGCAACGGTGTCAAAAACATAAATTTGTTTATCCATAATTTTCTCATACGTGTTGATGTCTTGTATAAAGCCTCCAAATAAATAGATTGTTTTATTGTCCTTGTCTTTACAAGATCCCGCCCATGAATTAAAAACTGGCAACGGACTTATTTGTGTATGATCGATCCATGTTGGTGAATTTCGACTAAAATTCGTTGATAACTTCAAGTAAATTACATCTTTTGTCGCTAATGATGAACTGACACTTGCCTGAGCTGATACTTGGCCTCCAATAACATATAATCTGTCACCTATGGTCTGTGAAGACGCAGCATAACGTGGTACGGGAGTAAATTGACCAAAAGTAACTATTATTTGATTACTGGTTATTATGAATATGATTAATATGAGAAAATTTAGTTTTCTCTCTCTCTCGGTGTATGTGAATAAGAAAGGGTTTAATGTATTTGCTAATCTGCATATCTTTCAAATCATTATTTAAAGGCTTCTTCTAAGCTAACTTTATTTCAATTACTTAATATTAGGTTACAACAAAATAAAATCAGAGATAGAATTTTAATTAACATTACAAAAGATTTTATTGGAAGGAGGTCACTTGTTTGATGGGTCAAAAAAAGGTAGTTTTACCAAATCTTGCTGTACAAGCAAGAATTTACTTAGCAATACTGGCAAGCTCAGTGCCATCCGAGAGGTTGTTTTCATTAGCTGGAAATGTATTTATAAAGAAAAGAATAGACTTGGTAAAATAGTAATATTCATAATATTTTTTTTTAAAAGAAAGTTCTAAATTTTTTGAATGATATTTGGTAATTCATATAAATATATAAATATATATATATATATCAAAAGATTTATAGCTGGCTTAGTCGGCTAAGGTCTTTTTAACGGCTGATACCGCCACTTTCCTTGAGCATAAATAATGCTAATACAATATTCATGATGATTATAGAATACTATTTTGCAAGTAAATAAAAATTCCCAATTGATTTAAATAGAAAACCAATTATGGTAAACAAAAAACTATTATAAAGCAGGGAATATTTTGCTCACATATCATAATAATTTGCTTTTTATTAAGAATGTGTATCCTCAATTTTCAACAACTTTAAACTGGTTCATGATTAGAAAACAAATATTTGAAAAAATTCATAATAAATTTATTATTTCATTTGGGAAAGTAATAAAACTATTTATTTGTTATCTACATTGTCCAAGTAATGATAATATTAGGATCTAATTTTGAGAAGGCAAATAATGTACTCCCAAGTAGAATTAGAAAATAAACCCATGCATGATGTTTTGTTGGATTTTAATACATATCTCCTTTCTACATAGGACCTTGTCATCCAAGTGGCAGTGAAAAAATTTTAGTGGCCCAGTCTCCTTTTTTTTTTATGTGTGTGCATGCATGCTGTGCGTGTGTGCTTCCAAAGTTGTAGAGTTCCTTTAAAAAAAGAATATGATCAACTGGCCGTGAACTAAGTCTGTTTTGTAACAAAGTAATTTGTTGTCCCTCATTAGAAAAAGTCTTTCTGAAGAATAATAATTAAAAGATTAAAATAAATTCTTATCTACTAACACAGCACAATCCCTCTGCATATTTTTTTTTAATAATAAAAACAACATTAAAGGTGGGGCTAAGTTTGTTCATGATGTGAAGAAATTTTACATGTGAGAAAGGATTTTATTAATATACAAAGTGTTATCATTATGTACTTTAAAATATGTAAAATATAAATAATTCCAACAATCTTATGAAAAATTAAAAATAAATTTTAAAATTTATTTAGTGATGAATAAAATGCATTTATGATTTATCAAAGTGCCATCCAATCATGTTTTGGACATGTAATCTAGCCTCTTGTATTTTTATTATTTCACATTTAACATTTTTGTTATTTATTTTTTATTATGTAAAATAAATTAATTGATGAGCATTGAATATAAACAGTCAGTAGACATTCAGTACTGTACTCTTTTGCATTCCTGTACTGTATGATCTAAAATTAGCATTTCTGTATTAAATGTTACAAGTACAGAATCCATTTGATTGGTGGGGGTGCTATGTACTGTATGTTGGTGTGTGATTTTTTTAAAAAATTTTCTATTTTTGTAGATCATACAGTACAGGAATGCAAAAGAGTACAGTACTGAATCTCTATATACTCAAATATAAAGGCTCGCAATTAATCGAAGAATATAGCTAAAAAGTTAACTCAAGCTCGATTATAAATGTAAAACAATCAAGATTGACCAAAAGCTACTTGCAATATAAAAATTGATTGTGAAAAATCACTCAATTTAACATTCCTATTAGAGAATATTTTGGGTCATTTGTTATTGCGATAAGGAATCTTGTCATCGATCACTACATAAAAGACACACATTTTATACAAGATGTTTATGCTATTGTATTAAAAAAAAGTAATGGAGTCAGCATGAAAAAATAAATATCGGGCTATTAGTAAACAATAAAGTCTTCTTCAAAACCACACCAAATGCTTATTAATGTTATGAATGGATGAAATGAATGCCTATTTGGTTTTTCAAAAAAAAAAAAAAAAATGGAGTTATAAAAGAAATTTTTTTAGCGTGAAACATGTGAAAAAGAAAATATTTATTGACTGACTTTTTTTTTAAAAAAAATAAGAGAGAATATTCCAAAGCATGATGAGAGATTTTTTTAAAAAGTGGTGATTATTGATCTACAACTCATCATTTTATTTGTTTTTATTTTTGAAAAAAATTATGTCATCAAGAGTCGAAAGAACTAGAAGAGAAATACTGCGGTAGAAAATGAGTAAGGATTGTTAAAAGGGAGGGTAATTTAAAAGCTTTTCTAGTTGCTAATAAAAAAAAATTTTTGTACCATGCTTTTTAGATCGTCAAAGAAAATCATAAGGAAACAACAAAGAATGGCTGGGTTGATAAAGTAAAAGATTTAACAAATACCAGCAAGCTGCCAATATAGGATTTATAACCGTGGTTTAAATTCAATGATACATTTGAAATGCTATCATCAATCTTTGTAATTTGTAATTCTTGTCCTTATCAAAATATGATAGTCACCCATCCATTATTGAAAACAGATAATTCCGGATAAGATATCAACAATGCTGCAAAAGAAACATATAATTAATCAAGAAATGCAAGTGAAGACCAGCTAGCTGTACAGATTTTTAATGGTTCACGTGGAACATTACCAATAAAATCCCCATTGGGACATCAGAAGATGAACACTAATAAATTTTTAAAATTTTACATAAATATACTTTTTCAATGGACACAAAAGATATGAGGTTAGGTTCAATTGTAAAGTATTGGGAATATATGAAAGACTCAACCTCTCTTGTAACTTAAGTTTTTCAAAAATTCATTTAAGAGGCAAGGAAGGTCATGACATATTGTTGATTAATCCAGGTTAAAGTTTTTATTATGATTGCTAGTTTATTATTTTTTTTAAATTAGTATTATGTATACAAATGTCCATCATAAGTTTCCAACACAGCGGGATTTATCAGTTGTGGAATTGTATGACAATTAAATTGGCAACAGACATACCTATTGTAGTATGCCACTAATAGAGTCTAACTTTGAACATTTCATTAGATTAAAGGTATATTCCATATTATTATTGTTATTATTATTATTTAATTGAATATTTGTATTCAACAGAATCATGTAAATATCAAATGTGAAGATATTTGAGTTGGATGACTTTGCAAATACCTATCCAAATGGTTTGTAATAAATAACAAGCAGTCAAAATCTGGATTATATATATATATAACAAGGCTTTTTTAACAGTCTAAGCAATGCAATTCAAATGGGTGTCAGTAATAATAATATCAATGACCAGAACATATCTATTGGTCCAATCAGTAACAATAACAACATGAACATTACTTATCAAAGTTCTGAAGATTCTAATGATTATCAAAATGATCAAATAGTAATTAGTCGCCGACAACTACTAATTAATAGCATCATTAATAAAAAACAACATTAAGCATAATAATAATTTATTTATTTTACAATTTTTTCTAATTATTCTTTATATTTATGATACAAGTTGTATTGATCATAATACACTATAATAAATGAAAGCTTTCTAAAATTCATTATTGTGTATTATTGTGTTCTGTCAATGGGTTTTTTGGGAAAATTAAAAATGAAAAACAATAAAATTTTTGGGAATGGTGACACAGTATGATTTAATTAAGTTCGATAGTCAAACACTTTACTATATTAGGTGCCTGTTATGATCATATTGATATTTTAAATGGGGCATGCTGCAACAAAACCAGACTAAGTGAACATTGGTATTACCAGAATTTCAGGGATCAAAATTGTAGACGGCTAATTACACCAAATATCCCAACCATATGAACTTCATTTTTCACTTAAATATAGATTAATTTTATTTCTTAAATTAGCATGAATTGACTATCAAAATGAAAATTTTTTTGAAAATAAAAGTTCTGAAAAGATTAATTAAACTCAGTAAAGAGAAAAAATATAATAATAAAAATTTCAACCACATTATGGTTTTCAGGTGTTATTTCATTTTTAGGTATGGATTGATTTTTTTGTTTTTGTTGACCTGCAACCATTTTGCTTAATAATAACTGATGTCCAGATGTCACAAATTTATTTCGAAGATATTTATGTCTGTCATGACATTGTAGAAGCAGAGACTTAAAAATTAAAAGAGATATTAATAAAAATCTCATAAATGGTGTGTCAGTCATCACTAAAAGATTTCCTTACCTTAAATGATAGAAAAAATTGACATAGACTTGTAATGAAGGGAAAATCTTCTTCTGATGATGGCAAGTCAACAACACCAAATTGAAAAACTCTATAGAAATTTTCAGACAATGCTAACAATAAATTAATAAAGTCATTAATAATTTAAGTACAAGTGAATCAAAACAAAAAAGAAAACAAAGACTTACAACATATTGCAAGGAAATACACTGCGAGCATGTAAATTCAATTACAGCTCGGGTTGTGTCCAATAAGTATATAAGATAAAATAAATAAAAAGTCCAATATATAAATCTCCCTGATTACGGCTCCCAACCCAGGGTTCTCAATTCCGACCTCTGGTTCCCAACTCAGAGCCTATCTATTGCGCAATCTCTCTACAGTACTAATAGCTGGCCTAAAAATGATAAATAAAATAAAATAAAAAAGAATATATACAAGAAATATTTACAACTATACCACTTGAGGCGTCCCTACAAGCAGCATAGAACAATCAAATG